CCTATATTACACACTTTAACTTCACTAGCAGAATACCTGTCAGGTGGAATCCCCTTGTTCCATCACTCTGACCTGCGTGGCACTGACTGCTCCTGTGTGTCAACCCTCTCTTGCTTCATAACTTGTTCAGCTTCTCCTCCCTGAATGCTGACACCATCACTAAGTGAGTTACCATCACTGTGAGTTACTGTCACTAAGTGAGTTATGTCACTAAGTGAATCATTCCACAAATTTGCATCAATTCTATTCCAATTTTGCTCTGCAAAGCTTGCAGACCTTGAAAACACTATTCTTTTGCTCCCATAGCTAAACTGATAAATCTTTGAGCCTGGCTCATAGCCCACAAATCTGAGCTTTCTAGCCTTTGGTTGCCCCTTTCTTCTAATTGCTTTTGTAATATGCACCCATGCATTGCTTCCAAACATCCTTAAATGTGCTAGATATGGTTTTCTCCCATATAGCACTGCATGTGGAGTATCATTAATGGAGGAACTCCACAACCAATTAACTAAATAATTAGTAGTCAATATAGCTTCACCCCAATATGACCTGCTTAGACCAGAATCTTCTAGCAGTGAGTCCTTCATGTTTTGCAAGGCTCCATTCCATCTCTCAGCAACACCATTCTCAGCTGCTGTGTAAGGTTTTGTGCATCTGTGTTTTATTCCTAAATGTGCCAACCACTGTTGAAAACTTTTTGATATGAATTCTGAACCTCTGTCAGTTTGCAGTGACATAACTGTTATTTATACCTTCTGTCTACAAAGCTTACCCATTGCTTAAATTCCTGTAGCACGTCTGTTTTACTCTTTAGTAAATAGCAGAACCCAAACCTGCTATAGTCATCTACAATAACCAGCGCATATTTAGCTCCTCCCAAATTGGCTGGCATTGGGCCCATTAAATCTGCATGTACCAGCTCTAGAGCTCTTGCTGTCTGCCTTCTTGCTTCCTTGGACTTTGATATTTTTCATACTGTACAAGGCAAATATGCCTTACATCCCCTTAAATTTAGACTTTCTGCAAATTGGCCCAACTTGTGCAAATTGGCCCATCTTCTGCAAAACCTGGAAGCTGGCATGCCCAAGCTTTCTATGTAAAAGATGAACACATGAATCATGTTTTGCAACATTGCTAAATGTTTGTACACATTGATTTTTTTTGTCCCTGTAATATATAAAGGTTATCATACTTTATGCCTTTTGCACAGACAATCCCATTTTTCTTTATAAGACACTGCCCATTTACAAATGTGATCTCAAATCCTTGCTTGTCTATACTAGAGACACTCAGCAAATTAAGTTCCATTTCTGGCACACATAAAACATTATTAAACTTTGGAACATTATTAAATATGGAATTTACATACTGCCTCTTCCAATGTCTTTAGCCTTCTTGCCATTTGCCAAGGCTACTGTGACTCCAGCAGCTGCATCCATCCTGTAAAACAATTTAGCATTATTAATAATCATTTGGCTAGCCATTGATCTCTCCTGCAATAGCTGACTTTTACAATTGCAATTTGTCCATCAACTTGTCTTTCTTGCAAACTGCTTCTTCTGTTTTGCAAACAGTCTTTTTGGAAACAGTCTCTCTTTAAATGAGTCGTTTGTCCACAAATGAAGCACCTATTCCTGGGTTGCAACCTGATATCTCCTGTTGCTCTTCTCTTTTCTGGAGACAGACAGTCTGTGGAATTTTCCATTCTGTTCTTTGGCCCCCCTCCTCGGGAATTTCTCCTTGTGGCTAATTAAACAAGCTTTAAGGGCTTCTAAATACAGCTCCTGCTCTGGTATGCATTCAAACACAGCAGAAATAATGTCCCAAGTTTCAGCTAAGCTGTTCAAAACTACCAGCACTTTCTGAGATTCACCCATACCTGAAGCCCTTCTAAACAGAACACAGATACCGACATCCCATAAATTCTTCTGAAGATATTACATAGCCCAGTAATGAAACATTTGGAAACCAACCCACAAGTTTGCAGAATGAACCTTCACTCCCACATTCTCTGTTTAGCAATGAATCATTATTTAATTTAATTTAATTCTGTAACATTCCATTCTTACTGTATTCAGCAAACAACCTTACGTGCAAAGCATCCCACAGTTTAGGGATAATTTAACCATGTAATATACTATGTATACATAAACAAATGTAGAGAAATCTTTCAGATATCTCCCAGTGAAATACTGGGAAATAAAACCATACTTTATTTTCCAAATTATTTCATTGTTACTGTTCATATTCTTTAAATTAGAATTATGCCATACACTTATCCAGACACACTTGACAAACTATCCCTGTAGTTTTTGTATTTTCTCTTCCCATCTTTCTTTATGAATAGGAAAACAATAACAGCATTCTTTGTTCCTTAGGGCGCAGATGACATTTTCACACATAAAAATCCACATTTTAATATTTCTTTTGCTACACAACTTCCAGCTTTATCATTTTTAAAAATTATTAAAGAATTCCCTGACTTCCATCATATATTTATTATATATTAAGAACTATAGTATTCATTTCAGTTCTACTCAGAATTTCCTCACTTCAGTTCTATTTGGTGGCTTCCCATTTTTTGAAGGGAAGTCTAGGAAAGACTCCCAAACAATCTTTAAACAGTCATGCACTGACAGAGAAGAGGTGGGTCTGAATGCCTGCAATTCTTGGTAAGGAACAAGCCATCAGAAAATATGTCAGCTTTTCCTTTCAGCTGCTCATTTTTCTTATAATGGTTAGGTTTTAATTGCAGTTTTTGTAGCTCTACAATATCTTGATTTATGACAAGTTATTTTCTGACCTATTTTATAACCCCTTGCTGGACATTCATAACATTTTCTATTCTTTCATTGTTCACTATTAAATTCAAAATTATTATTTTTTTCCATAAGGAAATTGCAATGGGACTTAGATTTACACAGGATTATACTATAAATTTTGATTTTTTTTCTTTTACAAAAAAACTCCTGTGTGTGTGTGTGTGTGTGTGTGTGTGTGTGTGTGTGTGTTTGTGTGTACATATAATTGATGGGTCAATAATATTCTGCAAATGTAAAATGATATCCAAAAGCAGGAAATAACAGTTGGACCTGATTTGCAATTTGAAGAATTGGAATCTGATTCGTTGTTGTCAGATGTGAAAGTGTTTAGTTTGCTAGAAAAGATAAAAAAGAATACAAATATAAGAAATTCTGAAATAATGGTTATGATGAAGGATGGACTTCCTTCATAAGAAGACTATTGTTTTGTTAAGGAGAATTATTCAAAAATGGATGTTCAGAGATATTTACAATAAAGACTGATGAACTTTTGGACATGAGGTGCAATTGTTGGGAAAACTCCCAATAAAAATATAGGAAAGGTTTCATTATTAATAGAAAAATGTGGATATTTGATCCTGGATGCAAATATATTAATTGTGGTGATTTGTGGTAAAAAAGAAAAAAGAAACTGTGTAGACTTTCTATGAGTCAATTACAATAATAGACTGTTATCAACATGCTTTGAATGTTTACTTTGCTGTAGTTTAACCTGTTAATTTTTTTTTTTTTTACATAGATAATGTCTGACATCTATTTGGGTTACAAATAGATGTACAAGCTTATACATTTTGGACCTCCATCACAAGACGGGAAGCTTTTATTGTTGCAGTAGTTTTGTCAATGTTGAAATAGGGGTGATAATATGTGTTTCTATGCTTTTTTAAATTCACACATTTTTCAATATTTTTGTCTAGTTTTTCTCTTCATTTTTTTTTCTTTTGGAATTTGGATTTTAATCTCATGAGTAAAGTAATTTTTTAAAGAATTCCTTCAGATCAGTTTCATCCCAAGTAATTGCATAATGCTTACTTTTAAATTTTATTTGGAGGCTTTTTTAGTTCTCTTCAATTAAAAAAAAAACTTTGAGCAATACATTTGCATTTTCTCTTTCTTTTTTAATCTCAGGCATTTGATTTCTTTGACTATATTCTGCAGTTATCTTTTATTCTCTAAGTACATTATGTCACATATTTCTTAATTTTTACAGCTACCCCTTAACTATCTTTTTTATTTACATTATAATAACTATTTTACCCAGCAGCCATTTTCATACTTCCTATCATTGCAACTCAATGCATTTGTGTGACTGCAACATTTCTTTTCACTTGGTTTCAAGCAGATTCTATATAATCTTTCCTTATATCTACTTCCTTTCCATTTTCTTGGCAGATCAATATATTTGGTTTTTTTTTTTTTCATACATAACTTATGCTTTTCTTCTTGCAGTCATTCTACTTTGCTCTACTTTGCTCTTTTTCACTATTCATCCATGACAATTGTTTTACAAGATCCACTCTAATGCTTTCAAGACACCCCCACCTCCAAATAGGAAATAATATTAGCTATTAGTTGAATTCTGTTGTGCAGGCTTAGCATAACATAATACAACTAGTCATATGTTTAAATAATTGATCCAATGGGGAATGAATTCCCAATCAAAAAAATATTTAATTCTGTTTCAGCATCTCTGTTAACTAATAGTTGCTCTGATGTTTTCCCCATGAAGGTACTTTCTCTTCCTCTCTCCCTCCCTCTCTCTTTCTCTCTCTCTCTCTCTCTCTCTCTCACACACACACACATCTATCTATCTATCTATCTATCTATCTATCTATCTATCTATCTATCTATCTATCTATCTATATCATCATCATCATCATCATCATCATCATCACCATCATCATCATCTATCTCTAACTGGCTAGCAATTCAAAATGAATAGCTACAAGAGGTAATTCATTTTTAAAAAAGCAATTAATAATTGATATTTTTTTCCAGATTATTGTCCCATTGAGGCAAGATGGATAGACCTACAATAGTTATGGGAGCACAGTTAGAAGACTTAAAGATCAAATTGGAAGCAAAGATTCATAGAAAAATCTGTCTATGTGACTTCTTTGACATGGTACCAACTTGATGCCACATAATCAATTAATTAATGCCATTTAGAAATGTACCATGGAAAACAAAACTGTTGTGCTTGAATTTCTCCTCTTGGGATTCTCTGGTGACCCAACATTCCAGGTTTTCTTGTTCCTGTTATTTTTATCAATCTACTTAATAACCTTAGTAGGAAATATGGTCATCATATTGGTAATATGGGCTTATCCTCAATTATACACTCCAATGTATTTCTTTCTCATCAACTTATCCTTCCTTGACATCTGTTTTTCTTCTGTAACAGTTCCCAAAATGCTACAGAATCTCCTGGCTACTAAAAAGACAATTTCTCTTTGTGGCTGCATAGCTCAGGTTTTTTTCTTTATTTTCCTATTTGGAACAGAGATCTTCTTACTTTCAGCAATGGCATATGATCGTTATGCTGCTATATGCTACCCACTGAGATACAGCACTATTATCAACCATCGCTTGTGCATCCAAATGGTATTGGCTGCATGGCTGTCAGGTTTCCTGGATTCTTCTGTCAATACTCTTTTTTTAACTAACTTAAATTTCTGTGGTCCCAGTAACATTACTCATTTCAGCTGTGAGTTACCTCTGCTATTGCAGCTGTCTTGCACTAGTAGCTTTGCCAATGAAATGGTCATTCTTATCTTTAGCATGCCATTAGGATTTACTGCCCTTCTTCTAATTATAACGTCCTATGTACATATTGTTGGCTCCATTCTCAAGATAAATTCTGCAAAAGGAAGGCAGAAGGCCTTCTCTACTTGTGTTTCCCACCTCACAGTAGTTTTCTTGTTTTGTGGGACTGCTTTGATTAGATACATGAAACCTGCCTCTAGCTACTCAGACACCATGGACAAGCTAGTGTCAATCCAGTATAGTATCCTAACTCCTATGTTAAACCCCATTATATACAGTCTGAAAAACAAAGATGTAAAAAATGCTTTAAAGAAGCTTTTTAGAAAGTGACTTCAAATAGGCCCTTGAACTTACTGAATTTTGAGATTAAGAAAGAGAATGCATTAAGGCAGAAATAGCAAGACTGGTGATTATGATATGGCAGATTTCATTAAATTACTAACTGAAGTTGTCACTTTCTCCTACAATTTTATCCACTCCCTTTAAATTATGGGATGTTTGGAAGGGCTTGCACTCTGAGGGCTTTCATTTCTTCACTTATGGTTTATTTCAATCAAACAGATCCTACTTGGTATAGAATGCCATATTTATTAAGACCATATGTGTTAAGACTTCATGGCTGATAGTTTAAGATACGTCATGACTACAGTTGCATTTCTTATGGAACTGAATATACTAAGTCAGAGAAGGGCATTCTAACCTAACACAAGGCTCTTTGGTGCTCCTGGAATAAGTGTGAGTGTGCGTGCGTGCACATGCACACACGCACACACACACACAGACACACGCTAAGGCTATTAAATTAGGAAACTGCAGGCAAAAGCTCACTAGTTCATTATACCCATTAGATAAACTGCTTTGAAGATCTAGCTCCTTATTTCTACTTAAATTAAATTGCAATTGTTGGGAAAGTCATCAGTTAAAAACCTAAGGAAAGATTTCATTATTAATAGTGAAATGAGGGTGTTTGACTCAAAGATAATAATCAAGATGATTTGCAATAAAAACAACTGCGTAGACTTTCTATTAGTAAATTACAGTAACAGACTGTTAACAAAGTGCTTTGAATGTTTACTTTGCTGTAGTTTTCCTGTTAATTGTTATTTTCACATATATAATATCTGGCAGGTTAATTGGGTTACAAATAGATGTACAAGCTTATAAATTTTAGACTTGCAAGGATGGAAGCTATTATTGTTTTAGTTTTGTCAGTGTTCAACTGGGGGGGATGGTTTTATTTAGTTTTGCTTCTGTTTAACTTTTTTCATTTGGATTTTAAATTTTTGAATATAATAAACATTTCTTTAAAAAAATTCTTCACTTCAGTTTTATCCCAAGTAATTATATAATTTTTATTTTGGAATTTATTTCAGTCTGGTAGAGACTTTTTGTATAGTTCTCTTCACCATTTGGCAATACTTTTGCATTTTTGTTTTCTTTTTTAATTTCAAGCACTTTATAAATTTTTGCACTTGAATTTACTCAACTTTGAGACTATCTTGATGAAGTGTCTCCTGCTTGAATGGGGTTTCCTAGGTCTGCTGCATGTATTTGTATGAAATATGTATTTGTTTGAAAAGAAAGACTATGTAATTAAATCCTACTCTTGTAGTTTGGGCAAGGTGGTGGAGGACAGAAGAGAATTATGACAGCAGAAATACTAAGTTTGACCTTAGTTTATTAAAATGTTTATTAAACATTAATAAACTGTTTATTAAAATGTTTATTAAACATTTTAAGATGCCTTCCTCTGCATCTCCCTGCACATACCCCATGCAAAAAATAAATCTTTTTTTTTTTTTGCTGCATTCTCCTGATGTAATGTCTGAAGAACTGTGTTATTTATTTGTTAAGATGGGGATATTTTCTCTTCAGAATAGGACAACTTGCCAAGCCACAGCCAACTTGCTGTACCTAACTCACTATGGCCAATTCGCTGCAGGACAACTCGCCATGGCCAACTCACTGTAGGATAATGCAGTTCAGAAACAATTTAACAATGCTATTTAATTATTTAATTTTTTTTTTAATTTTTGCAATTCACATTTCATTCTGTCCCTCCTTTTACATCCTTTCTTTACTGATTGTATTCTACTATTTTTATAATATTAGTCTACCTCTTGTCCTGCAGTGAGTTGTCCTGTGGTGAGTTGGCTGTGGAAAATTATCCTGAAGCGAGTTAGCTATGAGTTAGCTTTTATGGTAGTAAGTCAACACATGTATGTGATTGGATGTGATTTTGTGGTGGCCATAAAATAAATTGCTATGATCATTAAGTGAATCCATAATCATTAAGTGTGTCATAACAGGCAAAAATACAAAAAAACCCATCAAAAATATCATAAATCATGTTTACATGACTATGGGATACTGCAACTACTTTTAAAATTGAATTAGTTGCAAAGCACCTGAAAAGCAGTGACCATGTAATGAAAACCCAACATTTTAAATCAGGGTCTGTCATAATTTCAAATGATTGTTAAACTGCAATTCAAATCCAATTCCAAGAACTAATTTTGAACTATAAAGTCTGTCATGCTTGTTGAGATGAGGACACAAATCTTCTGATAAATATAAGTAGATTAAGTAGGGACTGAGATGTTCTAAAAAGTTGAGTGGCATTACCTCTGATCTTTATTCTCCCAATAGAAATTTTGTCCACACAAATTAGGAAGAATGAGGAAATTATAGGAACTAAAATAAAGAAGGAAGAATACAAAATACAAGCATTTGCAGATGATATGGTATTTTTTTATAGAAAAGCCAAATGAGAGTGGGAATTTTTGATTAAAAGAAATAGAAGAATTTAGCAAGGATTCCAAACTAACAAGAATAAAACCAAAATGTTAGTTAAAAATTTGACAGACCATCAAAAGTGGGAAATAGAAAAGGAAATAAAACTGCAAATCACAAATAAGATTAAATATTTAAGTATTTGGCTGATATCAAGGTGCTCATCATTAAAAGAGGATAATTATGACAAATTAATGAGTCAAATGAAAAAAAAGATTTAGAAATATGGAGTAAATTACAATTATCCTTAATAGGAAAGATTGCAGAAATAAAAATGAACCTATTACCAAGGTTATATTTATTTCAGACAGTCCCTATAAAATTAAATTAAAGGAATTTTTTGAGGAATTGAATAGAGTAGCACTGAAATTTATATGGGAAGGGGAAAAAAACCCTGCATAAGGTTAAAATTATTGCAAGATAATAAATAGAGAGGTGGCTTTGTACTCCCGGACTGGGCATTGTACCAACATGCAGCAGTGCTAATTTGGATCAAAGAATGGATCATCCTGGGTAACAAGAGGTTATTAACTCTTGAAGGACATGATCTACAAATTGGTTGGCATGCTGCTATGTGGGAGAAGAGAAATAAGACAAGTTCTCACTTTTTAAACCACTGAATAAGGGAGGCACTATTGGAGATCTGGAACGGAATTAGGAAATAACATTACATTAAAATACCAGGTTGGTTTTCCATCATGGAAGCCATGATATATCCAAATAATTTAGATATAAATAAAACAATGAGATACAATCAATTATTAGATGATCAAGGGTATTGAAATCAAATCAAAAATTGAAAGAGGAAGGCATAGTGATAGATTGATGGCTCTACCTACAATTGCAAACAAAATATAAAAAAGACATAGAAGAATTTGGTATAGATAAAATGCCACAACAACTAGACAAAATATTATTAGGATCAGAGGAAAAAATTATAACCAAAATGTATAATTATCTTTTAAAATTTGATAGAAAAGAGGAGGTAGTGAAACCAACCATGATAACCTGGATGAAAAATTTTGGATACAGCATACAATTAGAAAACTGCGAAAGACTATGAACTAAAAATTATAAATCAACTTTGGCAACCTCATATAAAGAAAATTTGTATAAAATGTTTTATCATTGACATCTAGCACCGGCGAGATTGGCTAAAATGTATCCAAACCTAAAATCAGAGTGTTGGAAATGCAAAAAGAAACTCGGTACATTATTTCACATGTGGTGGACTTACCCAAAAGAAAAAGAATTCTGGAATAAGATACAGATCTGGCTACAGGAAATAACAAGTCTAAAGATAGTACCCAAACCTGAAATGTTTTTATTAGGGATAACCAAAGGAGAATATACAAAAAAGAATGAACATCTATTGAAACACATCTTAACAGTGGCCAGGATAATATATGCTCAAACTTGGAAATTAAATAATACAGCCCCAGATGACATGATTATCAAAAAAAAATAATGGATTGCACAGAAATGAACAAATTCACAATGGAATTGCAGAAGAGGAAAGATAAAGAATTCTATATGGCCTGGGAAAAATGGTGTGTGTGTGTGTGTTCGGGTCTTTTCCCATGTAAGATTGAGAGCATCTTGGCAACATTTCGATGAAGTCCCACTTGCAATCTTCAGGCTGATGCTTCCGGCTTCGTGCTTGTGCGAGCAAAGCGTGATCAGAGCTGCAGTCTCCCTATATATACTGGTGGGGAGGTTGGCTGTGTTGTCATTTCTTGATTGGTTGATGGAGTTGATGTTTCATATATATGAATGATATAACTGGTGTCACAAATAACTGCAAAATATGTATATAGAACTTGTTTTTTAAAGGTGAAAATTTAATAAGCTTTATTAAAATTAAAAAGTTGGGTGACATTTTGTGACGGAAATAAGGCAAAAATGATACTATTTCACTATCTTTATTACTAGAGCACATGTTCAGATATTAGGTAGTATTTATGCATGAGATCGATCATATTATTCATATTCTACCAGCATTGTTGCAAGTTATTCTTCACCTGCTTCATCTCTTGGACCTTCCATGAAACCCAAGGACCCATCCACATTTGGTAAGGCAGGAAAAGACTACTCAGAAAGAATCCTATAGACCATCATTTTTCCCACCTACCCACACAATGCTTAACAAAGTATTCAACAGCTCTAAACCTCAAGAATGCTGGGAAATTCAGGTCGTCTTCCGGTTTGCAAGGCTTTGGCGGCAGCAGGAATCTGCGATCGTGCACGGTTTCTGCTGCGCTCACCACTGGAGTGCCCCTGATCCAGCCGGATTTGGGGGCTAATAGTTACACCATTGAGGTAACTGAAGATAGGGGAGACCCAGCAGGGGTCAAAGGGAATCACAACCCCCCTCCTCAGCTGACTTTACTCCCTTTTCCGAAGGCAGTGGAGCGGCGGTCAGCAATGGCCACCACAAAGAAGCTTGCATCTGGATAAGAATGTGCAGGAGGAAGCTGAAAAAGTGAAAGTTCTGGCTGACCGGGATAATAAGTAGCATCTAAATACCCTGGAATTTT